GCGCGCCCGGGATCCGAACCAGCGAACCCCGGGCCGCCGCAGCGGAGCGCGCGCACCCAACCGCTTGCGCCACCGGGCCGGCCCCTAAAGACATTTTTATGCATCACAAAGTCTCTAAAACAAAGGAATAACCCAAGCAAGAGACAACATGGAATCCAGGAAACAGAAAGGAAAGATGGAAAGGAGGCACCAAGATGATGGTGAATGGAGACCTCAGGATGACAGCTATGCACCAGTCATAGAGAACAGTCAGTCCAGATTGGAGCAGGTCAGAAAGCTCCAGAAAATGTGTGTCCAAGAACATGAATTTGATAGAATGCCTGATGTGTTTTAATGTATTAGCAATTAGGGCAGTGTTTGTGATATATAATCGGTGGTAAGTGTATAGAAAACTAAGCACAGGAAAACAATAGAATATTAATTCCAGTGAAAATAAAAAATGTGCAAGGAAGGAAAAGTAATCATCATATACTATATGGCTCAAAAATGATAGCCTTATATGTAGTCATAATTATGTAAACACAACATTAACTAAAATTGATATAATAATGTTGGAGGTTTGAAGATATAGCAAGTGTGTAGGAGTGCAAGCAGCAAAAGAGCGCTAAATCCTTACCTTCCGTTCAAGAAAGTCAATAGAAAATACTTATATCTGGAAAATCAAAGAAAAGTAGATAGAGATAAACATAAAAGAAAAACCCAAAAGAGTTAAAGTTGTTGTCTTTGGGGGAGGGGGCAGGATAAGTGGGCAGAGACTAAATAGCTTTTTTATTAATAATTCTTGTAAAACTGACATGTTAAACAATAGAATTACATGAACACTTTTTTGGAAAGTGTTCAACAGTGAAATATTTTAGGATTTGCAGGCCATGTGGTCTCTTGCAACTATTCAGCTCTACAGTTGTAGCACAAAGGAAGCTGTAGACGGTACGTAAACAAATGAGCATGACTGTGTTTCCATAAAACGTTATTTGGAGACACTGAATTTTGAATTTCGTGTACTTTATACATCGCAAAATATTCTTTTCCTTTTGCAATTTGTAACCATATAAAATGTGCAAAACCATTGTTCACTCTCCGGCCATTCAAAAACAGGCTGTAGGCTGGATTTGGCCTGTGGCCATAATTTGCCAACCCTTGCCTTAAACAATGTGAGCATGTAACTTTGATGAAAATAAAAACTACAAAGAAAGGAGAAGAATGAAAAAAAAAATTGGGTATAATAATTTCAAATATTTTCTGTTACAAAATTTCTTGTTTTACCAAGAGTCCTTTCTGAAGGACATGAGGAAGAACATTCATTTACCAAGCTTTTTCTTATATACTGTCTCTTTGATCTTTATAATCCTGTAGGCTAAGTAGAATTGGGGTCCTTGTTTTCTGTAGACATAGAACATGTCCTATAGAGATCAAGTGACTTACTCAAAATCATACAGTTTATAAGGGACTAGAATTGAGACTATAATCCAATGCATATTTCTTATATTTTCCTCTTTATTGCTTACTGTACAAATAGTACATGAATATATCCTTTAAAAATATTAAAACACTACAGAAGAATATAATTAAAAAGTCATTGTCCTCCCTCACCCCTGTCACAATCCCATCCCTCTCCCCATATACACTCAGAGTTAACTGTTACAGTGTGGTTGCTACTATATGTTGTTGTAAGAAGAAAATAGTTCTATTAGGGAAGAAAAATCACAAATCTCTCTTTTTTTTCAGGCTCTTAAATTCCTAGCAAAGTGCCGTAAGAAAAAGAAACTATTTGCTCATTGGCAAGGACTCAGAGAACTCACTGATGCACGCAGAGTTGAACTGAAGCAACAAGTGGATGACTATGTCAGAAGACATCCAGTATGTAGGCCATGATATCAGTGCTACATTATTTCAGTGCATGATATTCACCAACAAAGCAGTGTCTCAGATGTATATGTACATGTCTTATTGGTATAAGGTAATGCAGTTGCTTTACCGTAGAGTTCATGGATTTGGAGTCTTCTTATAATTACATGGGCCATAGAAGTATAGTCAGTAGTAAAGACTTTGCTTCAAGTCAGTTATTTTCCATACTGCATCAGCAAGACTGCGTTCACATCCGCACCAACATTTTTTGTTTTTACATTCTGATGGGTGTGAAGAGGTATTGTGATTTGGGTTTGTATTTCCCTAATGATTAGTGATTTTGAACATCTTTTCATGTATTTATTTGCCAGTTATATATGTTTTTTGGAGAAGTGTCTAGTCAAGTCTTCTGCCTGTTTTTAAATCAGGTTGTTTTTTGTTGTTGAGTTTTAAGAGTTCCCTATGTATTCTGAATATTAATCCCTTATCAGATATATGATTTGGAAATATTTTCTCTCGTTCTGTGGGCTGTCTTTTTACTCTATTGATAATGTCTTTTGATGCACAAAAGCTTTTAATTTGAAGAAATACAGTTTGTCTATTTTTTCTTTTTTTACCTGTGCTTTCAGTATCATATCCAAGAAATCACTGCCAAATCCAATGTCATGAAGTTTTTCCGCTATCTTTTCTTCTAAGAGTTTTATAGCTTTAGCTCTTGCATTTTAGATCTTTGATCTCTATTTTTTTTAATGCACTATGTGTTATTTTGATGCATACTCTTATTTAAAAAAAGGAAGTGCTGCTTTAGCCATACTCTAGTGTAGGTGTTTAAAATTCTGTGGCTGAAAAGTAGAGTGTTAACTGGAATAGGGCTGCCTCCAAGATCTAGGAAGTGGAATATTTGAGAAAGCTGTGGTGTCAGAAGCTTTATCAGCTTCAAATTTAAGATTATTTCATCCTTGTCCAAACTAATTACTTAAGTTCCTTTAAAGTAGCTGGCTAGCCAAAAGAGTATGGTCCTTTGGCTGGTTTTGTCCCTTGTTCAATGAAATCAGTAGTTAAAATATTATAATATTAGATAATATGACATATAACATTAGGTAAGTTTGGGAGTGGGGATAGGATGAGAAGTAAGATACTCTATCTGGTGGGGTCCAGAACAAAAGAGTTGGCCTTGTTACTCCTCTTCCAGCCCGGGGTCTTTACCAAACCATTTGTAATTTTCAGTATGATCTTTCCATCTTATCTCTTCTACCAGAATGCCACACTGTGTGGGGAAGTAAGGTATGGAAGGATACCAAAAAGAAACTTCCCCAACTGCATTTTCATCTAAAGCTGCTTTTAAGAAGCTATTTATTGCTTGCACAAGAGTACAAGGTAGACATCAATCATAATATTCAATTGAAAAGTGAGAGACAGCTAAGCATTCTGGAACCTCTGCTAAGTGGTTGGGTGAAACAAACTTTGATATATATGTTGTTCCTGTGACAGTTTTTTCTGTCCTCTGTTCCCAGGGCTCTCCGATGTCAGATGTGACCAGCAGGGAACTTCATTCCCAAGCACAAGAACGGCTGCAGCACTACTTCATGGGCAGGGCCCTGGAAGAGAGAGCCCAGCAGCACAGGGAGGCTCTGATGGCTCAGATCAGCACCAACATTGAACAGTTACTGAGTATGTGCTCATTCCATTTTTGTTTCCAAAAAAAGAACAACCTATGCAAGATTTTGTGACATCCAAAATCTTCAGAGGGAAAACTCCATTTAATGGTCTATTAGCCCATCTTCTGTCCTTAGAAATTTCTAAATCTAGATCATACTAGTACACAATGTTTTCAAATGATGTAGATCCCATAACCTCCTTCTAGACTGCTTCCCCCAGCCTTGCTATCATTCACGTGTATCAACTCAGACAAAGTTATTAATTTTAAAGATACTGAGCCCTACTAGCCAGGTTCTGTTATGTAGTCTCAGAAGCTTTTGATCATATTTTAGAAGTAGATGACAGTAGTTACAGTGCCATTTTATAATTTTTAATGAATTGCTTTCATCTCCTCCTCATAGCCACTGGTGCATTTAATGAGAGTTCCCATCCATGAAGCCACAGTGCTTCAGTCAGCCTCTGAAACACTTTTAGTATATGTGGCATAGGAAGGGCCAGGGTTCTCTATTTAATGCCATTACTTGCAAAGTTTGTATTTTTGAATGGGTAGATGGCTATAACTAATCCTCTCATCTATAGGATGGGGTTTCGCTGTTATTTTAAAAGTTCTTGTTCTTTAAGCCATCTAAAAAAGTCTACATCTTTCTTTTTTTCCTGAGGAAGATTTGCCCTGAGCTAACATCTGTTGCCAGTCTTCCTCTTTTTTTTGCTTGAGGAAGATTTGCCCTGAGCTAAACATCTGTTGCCAGTCTTCCTCTTTTTTTTTGCTTGGGGAAGATTAGCCCTGAGCTAACATCTGTACCAGTCTTGCTGTACTATGTATGCGGGTTGCCGCCACAGCATTGCTGATGAGTGGTGTAGGTCCATGCCTGGGATCCAAACCTGCGAACCCAGGCCACCAAAGTGGAGTGCATGAACTTAACCACTGCGCCACAGGGCCAGCCCCCAAAAAATCTACATCATTTTTTATTCTTTTCTTTTAAGTACAGAATGGGGTGCGGGGGGCAGTTGATGCCAGTCACAGCTACAACTTGTGAATAGTCATGCACCATCTCTAGCTAGCAGTGATAATAGATTCAGAGTTGGAACCCTGTCCCTGCCTACTATTTCAGAGGTCCAACTCTGTAGTTTCCAAGTTCCTACTTGTTTGGTGTAGAACTCTTCTACTCACCTGTTTATTTTCTGTTTACTACAGAGGCACCAAGTCTGAAGGAGGCAGAAGGGAAAGAACCTGAGCTCTTCCTGAGTAGATCCAGGCCTGTGGCAGCCAAGGCCAAGCAGGCCCATCTCACCACCCTGAAGCACATACAAGCACCCTGGTGGAAGAAGCTTGGAGAAGAAGCAGGAGATGAGATTGATGTCCCAAAGGATGAGCTTAGTGTAGAGTTAGGAACTTTATTCATTGGTGGAACCAAACCCCCTTAAGAAGTTACCCTGAGAAATTACACATATTTTATATTTCAGGAGATTATATTGGTTCTGCCTCTGGCTTGCTAGTAGACTAGAGCTATCTTAACTCATGGTTTTCCAGAGGTTCCTCTCCGAACAAGACTTGCAAGCAGTAAGCAGAGTTATCTTCTACCTCTATCTTAGTTCTCTTTTTATTTTTTACCACACACCCATCCCTGGCCACACACACAAATTGGTGTGCTGTTTATCGTGGAACTAAACAGCATGGCATTCTATTGCTTACATGAAATGTGATATATATATATATATGTTTTTGCTTCTGCTGTTTTCCAACTAAACATGTTTTCTAAATAAATATTTTCGACAGTTCTGAAAAACTTGTCAGAATTACTTCAACTTTTCACATTTATTATTTAGATTCTTGTTTTTCTGTTAATATAGGAAGTGTGCTCCTGGCCTTTATTAAGGTGAGGAAAAGGTCAATTGAAGGATATTTGTCTATTTTCTACAAAACAGTGTTTGAACTCAATTTCTACCTTGTTATTTCTAAAAAGAACTACATTAAAAAATCCTCCTAGAATTCAATGCAAGAAAAATTTCTCCAGATAAAATTGCAATCTTTCTGGTAAACTATGAGAACTACGTAACCCACTATATCCCTTTTTGTCTTGTCTCCTAGGAATCTCACAGCTAAATATAATGTCTAATTTCTGTTATGATCGTAGGTACCTACATGATTATTTGATTTCAACCTAATAATTTCTGATTTCCCTGTTTATCTTTAACTGTGTTTTAATACCAGAAGCTACCTGTATTTGTGTTTGTAACAATATGGAATTTAAGTTAAAATCAATTAACAGATCGTGGACTCCATGTCATGAGGAACCAATTAACAAATCATGGACTCCATATCATAAGGAACCTGGAGTGTGCATTTTGTATAAATGAGTAGAAATACCAGTATTTCTGGATGGGAAGATCAAATAGTATAATGTTGTCCATTCCTCCAAAGCTAAGTTTAGTAAAATTCTAGTGTAATTTTTATTTATAATTGGAAAAGAAATGTATAAAATTCATCTGTAAAAATAAGTAGATGAGAATTCTGGTTTCACTAAGAATGTTGAAAGCTACATGAAACTGTTGCTCCCACCTTAACAAAAAAAAATGCCGGGTAATCTACAAAAATAATTTTTCTTGAGCCTATCCGATAGTTGAAGCCTCAAGATGACCAAGTAAATTGAGGTGGGACTCAGTATCTGTGAAATGAAGTATTTTATCTTTCTTTAGTAGAGCACGGGAGAAGAAGGTGGCTGGATAAGAAGAAATCAACTAAAATTGTAACAAATTCTTAACAGCCCAGTGTGGAGTAGCATGTCAGTTTAGAATACATAGGAGCCTCAGACAGGAGAATTTAGAACTCTACCAAATACAGTCATGTGCCACATAATGACATTTCGGTCAACAACAGGCCGCATGTATGATGGTGGTCCCACAACATCGGTACCATATAGCCTAGGTGTGTAGTAGGCTGTACAATCTAGGTTTGTGTAAGTACACTCTGACGTTTGTACCATGAAATCACCTAAAGACGCATTTCTCAGAATGTATCCCTGTGATTAAGTGAGGCATGACTACTCAAAGTTTGGGAGCAGGGCAGGAGGCCTGAAGAGCCGCCCTTAGTGGCGCAAGCAAACATGAGATGTTAGGCTGCTGCTGGGTGGCATGCCCAAAGCCTTACCCGTTTCCCCAAACCCTTCTCTTAAAAGCCTTAAGCTGCTAGAGCAGGGGCGGCAAGCCTTGACAAAATTCCATTGCATGTAAGGAAGGAATAGAAACAAAACCTATCTGTCCCTGGGGGGAGGGGTGGGAAACACTCTAGCCCCAGACACAAGAAGAGATCCAGCGCTGCTGAGGGAGAGAGAGAAACAAAAGCCTTCCACTCCTGGGAGAGGGACAGGAAAGCATCTTGGGCCCAGAAATCCTACACCAATTCAAAGCAGAGGCCTGCTACTGCTGGGAAGGGAACTTTCCTGCTCAAGAGCAGCAACAGATATGAGGCCGTTTGCCATGGGGTAGAAGGATAGGACACCTGAGAAAGCCCCACCCCCAACCCCAGGAAGAAGAGACCTAGCCTAAAATTTAGGCTGGATCAGGACAACAGCCCACCCATGTTCCAACAACTAGCCTAGCACCAAGTAATAAGCAATAGCACTTTACCACTGGGGTAGGGGAAAGTGCATGGAGAGACCCCCTCTGTGGCAAGGACATACAGGGATGGCTGAAAGTGGAGGGTGGAGTAGGAACACAGAAAAACCTTCAAGCTTTCCAGACCCTACTCTAAGCACAAGGTAAGAGCAGCTAAAAAATAAAGGAACTTGAAGTCTGGTGCATTGAAGATGAAAAGCTAAACTGACTAGTTTAACTCAACCCCGTGCAATACTGCCATACAATTCTTTTTTTTTTCTTTTAATTTCTGACTTAATGCTGTCTTCTGACTTATAATGCTGTTATATTTACTATGTTAAAACAATAATTCTGCATTACTCAGATAAGGGTAAAAAATAAGACACATGAAGCAGTGAGTTTATCAATAATTATTTAATCAATTTTTCACATTTAATTTTCTTTGATGACTTGCTCACATTATCAGAGCTCATTTTTCTATACAGTATAAAGTACTGGACAGAGTATAATACAAATATGAGAAACACAACACTTAACATTTCATTTTTATGAACCTATAGAGTGCCTAGAAATAGAAATAGAAAATTCTGTAGTCAGTAGAAATTCTGTAGAAAAGCCACTCTGTACCATATGATTTTCATTTTAGGAATATCCATATTCATTTGGATAATTGGAAATTTGGTCAATTTCAAATTATGGCTAAAGAGAATTCAAATGCATGATTGCTAGACTGAACTTTAATGATTAAATTTTGAAGACTTATTTTCCCCAGCTTTATTGAGGTACAGTTGACAAAACTATATATTTAAAGTGTATAATGTGATGATTTGATATACACATGCATTGTGAAATGATTACCACAGTCAGGTTAATTAACACATCCATCACCTTTTTGTGTGTGTGGTGAGAATGCTTAAGATCTACTCTTAGCAAATTTCAAGTATACAATACAGTATTATTAACTATAGTGACCATGCTGTACATTAGATCCCCGGAACTTATTCATCTAACTGAAAGTTTGTACCCTCTGGCCAGCTTCTCCCCATTTCCCCCACCTCCCTGGTAACCACCATTCTACTCTCTGTTTATATGGGTTTGACTTTTTATTTTTTAAATTCCATATATAAGTAAGATCATACAGTGTTTTTCTCTGTCTGGCTTATTTCACTTAGCATAATGTCCTCCATGTTCATCCATGTTGTCACAAATGGCAGGATTTCCTTCCTTCTTGTGGCTGAATAATACTATATATATATGTATATCTCACATCTTCTTTATCCATCATCCATTGATAGACACTTAGGTTGTTGCTACATGTTTGTTGGCTATTGTGAATAATGCTGCAATGAACATGGGAGTGCAGAAGTCTCTTTAAGATACTGATTTCATTTCCTTCAGATATATACCCAGAAAAGAGGATTGCTGGATCATATGGGTGTTCTATTTTTTAATTTTTTGAGGCACTCCATACTGTTCTATAATGGCTAGACCAATTTACATTCCCACCAACAATGTACAAGTGTTCCCTTTTGTCCACATCCTTGCCAACACTTATTATCTCTTGTCTTTTTTATAAAAGCCATCCTAACAGGTGTGAGGTGATATCTCATTGTGGTTTTGATTTGTATTTCCCTGATGATTAGTGATGTTGAGCACCTTTTCATGTACTCGTTGGCCATTTGTGCCAACAAGTTATATTGCCATATGATGTTATCCACTGGATTTAATGCAAACTCCACAAGTTAAGGGCACAGTCCCCAACAAAACTGCCCTTACTTCAGATGCCAGCCATAAATTCAGATTTCCCCAGGCCACCCACAGTTCTGACCAACTGACTGCAAATTTGAGTGTTCCCACAACCCCATGAGGTTTGATAATTCACTAGAACAAACAACAGAACTCAGGAAAGCACTATGCTTTTGATTAGTTTTATTATAAAGATACAAATCAAGTCCAGTCAAATAAAGAATACTTAGTGCAAGGTCTTAGAGGGTGCTAAACAAAGATGCATCACCCTCCTGGCACATCAATGTGCTCACCAACCAGGAAGCTCCACTGAGCAAATATGTTCAGTTTTTATTGGAGTTTCATTACGTAGGCATGATTGATTGAATCATTGGCCATGAGACTGAACTCAATCTCCAGCCCCTCTTCCCTCCCCAGAGGTCAGGAAGTCAGGCTGATATCATGCAGCTCAAAGCTTCAACCCTCTAATCACGTAGTTGATCTATCTGACATGGCTTACCCCCAACTTAAGTCATCTCCTTAGCATAAACTCAGGTGTGACCCAAGAGCCCACCACTAAGAACAAAGACAATCCTATCACTCAGGAAATTAGAAGGGTTTAGAAGCCCCCCTCCCAGGAACTTGGGACAAAGAACAAACAAATTCTATACAGTACTCCAACACTAACTGTCTAATATAAAAAGAGGTGTACCCATATCTGGGCATAAGTAGTATCCACCTCAGTCTTTCTGCTCTACACATGTCTGACATATAGTCAAAAATTGAGACACACAAAGAAGCTAGGGAAAAGAAAAAAAAAACTTTTGTGAAGAGATACACAACAAAACCAGATTCAGAGATGACTCAGATGTTGGAAATAACACACAAAAAAAGACCCTAATAACTGACTGATATGTTAAAAGATATGATGTAAAACTTGACAACATAGCATAAACAGATGGGAAATTTATGGAAACTAGAAAAAAGAGATCAGTGGAAATGCTAGAAAAAGCACAATATCAGAGATCAATTCCTTTGACAAGTTCATTATCAGACTAGAATTGAATAAAGAATAGGTGAATTTGACAATAGGTCAATAGAAATTTTCCAAACAGAAACGCCAAGAGAAAAGAAAAAGAATGGGGTGGGGAAAGTGGACAATAGAGCCTCCATGAGTTGTAAGACAATATCAAATAATATCAAACAGTATAACATGCATGTAATTGGAGTCCCAGAAAGAGAAGAGAAATGAGGTAGAAATAGGTGAAGTAAAAATGGCCAAGGTTTTTTGAAAATTAATGAAACCACAGATTCAAGAATCCCAGAGAACCTCAAGCAGGATAAATAACAGAAAATAATATAAAAAATTTAAAAACACATGTAAACACATCATGGTCACATTGCTTCAAATCGAAGATAAAGAGAAAATCATGAAAGCAGAGAAAAAAGAAAAATTACAT